ATATTTGATAATGTATATGAGTAAGCCCTAACCTCTTAAGTTTGATTGGCTTTGGTCGTATCTTTATTATGGTTTTTTATAGCCGTTATTTAGTATGGTAAAATGTTAAAGTATTTAATCAGATTTATTTTTGGAAAATCAAGTCTTTTGTTTTGCTTTGTTTTCGAAAGCAATAATGTGGTTGATATGACGGTTTAATTTGCCTAAGTCAAAAAATTTGCCGAAGTAATTGATTTATTTTAAAATTAAAAAAAATAAATGTGGGTGTTATAATACGATAAGTGATCTAAGAACGAGTATTAACTTCAGTCCTTTGAGAATACTTAAAGATTTTTGATTATTTGAAAAACTATTACTTTAATAAGTTTTTATAACAAATTAAATAATTATTTTTTTTTTGTTATCAAGGGGTGATACAAGCATATTAAAGATTAGTTATTGAAAATTCTAAGGTGATACGCTGTTATCGATTATAAAAGTTTTAATTTTTCCGGTATTAATTAGATAGATTGTATATATTAATGAAGGAAGTAGTCAAATTAATAAAAATTCTTAACTCATCAAATTAGACTCGAAATTATCTACTACTTGAGTAACGGTGGCGTGATTAAATTATCGGGGAATTGCTTTTTATAAAAATTGCAATTACATGTTTGGTTTATATTTGATCTTCCTAAAATAGTATACTAGTTCTTAAACTTAAGAACCATCTAAATTACTTTAAAAGTGTGCCCGAATACAGTAACAAAAAAAAATATTAAATCGTAAAATAATTTTTTAATTATTTTCATAATTATCTTGGAAACAAACAAATCAATTGTTTTTTTTTGTTTTTGATAAATAATTTTGAGTTGAACCATTTGTTATGTTGCTCTTTTAAAACTTGTTGTGTAAAATTTTAAAACAATTTGATTATATATGGTTTTCATATAAAAAATAATGAGAGAAGCATCAATATGAGTGACGACACCTGGTGTTATATAAATGATACATATGAATGGGAATATAGAATTTTGAATGATTTTATTTTTTATTCTAAAAATATATTTATGAATTTAGTAAGGAAATGTAGATAATTTAGAGAAGGAATGGTTCCATATGCGCAGATTTTGCTAAGGCCAGTATTATTTGAAGTATTTCAAATACACTTAACTTCAACATTGTATGAAGAATGAAATTTGAAATATATTAAATTATTTCATAGATATTTATAACAGTGGAAGGAAACGTCGATATCATTGATTCTAAGAATTTGCTCTTATATTTTTATAATGATATTTCGAAGTATAATAAAATCGCCAAATATTCTAATCAAATAAATATTAAACTTCAAGAATATTGGCATATTGATTATTTCATTTCATGTGTATAACTGAATTTCATTCATATGAGATTTTATTTTGTAGTTTTAATTTTTTAAAATTCTGATGAAAGAAATTTTATCATAATTTGAAAAGAATTTTCCCAATAAAAAACAGATAATTTTAATCTAAAATGCTTGTTATTTAAAAAAAAAAAACAATCAAAAATTAAAAAAAAAATCTAATTTTATTTATAAAGTTTTCAAATTTAATAAATATTTAGAAAAAAATTAAATATCAAATTAATGATTGAAAATTCACAATATGAAAAGTAGAAAATGCAAAATTCACCAAAAAATATTTCCAATATTTTTAGAGAAATATTTTTTGATTACTCAATTCAATAAAATCTGATTAGAATGAATAGAATGCAAAATAGAATCTCAAGTAACTTATGGAATAATGTTTAAAACACCTTAGTTTTATATTTGAATAATATGGGAACAGTGATATCGAGGAAGTATTTAATAACAGTGCTTGGTAATTATAAACGTAACGTTGAAAAATTAAGAAAATATTTTTAAAACTTTTATTTCAAAATTAAGCAATCATAACCTTTAAGAGCTCATGACAAAATTATTTAGCGATAAATTGCAGGGTTTCTCACAAATAAATTACATTATTGCCACACTTTTTTTGACTTAGTTATTACATTACGGTTAAATCAGAAATTTTACTGGAAATTTTTTTAAATTCGATAATATAATCTCTAATCGATTTTAAAGCAGAAAATTTTTATCGGAAATTGAGATTTTTTATATATGTATATAAATATATTTTTGTACCATGATTTAAATTGTAAAATGTACAGTTAGTTACATTAAAACACTTAAACATTTAATTAGCTAGAAGATATTTTAATTCATTTTCCTTTGCTTTAATTTTTGTTTATTCTCTCTTACAGAATACCCACATCGAATTTGTAAATATATTGATTAGTATGATGTACAAGTTCCTTAGAAATGAACAATATTCCATTTACATAATAAATATATTTTTATATACATACATAGATTAATTTAATTTGTATATATAATATGTAGTACGATCATATAATATATGTATGTAAAAAAATATTCCCCGTCGAGACATTTATCACCCCAAGGGAGATTTTTAAGGTGCATATAGAGACTTGATAAATTATAGATTTGGTATACTTAAATTTAAATATTATTGGTGTACTTGTCGTACAATAATATTATGAGTATGTACGCTAACAATATGTAAATTCATGTAAATTATAAATTTGGATTTTAAGAGTTCATAATCTACTAAATCTACGCGATAGGTACTGTAATTATGTCGTATAATAAATTTAATTTTAAATAATTTTAGTTTGGTTATTATTAAGGTCAAATATTAATTATTATTTTCACAAAATTTTCCAAGAATAATTTTATATACGTCATTACCAGCCAATATATTTACGAATATTGAAGCTGACACGACAGCAAATTATTGTTGCTAGTAAACTACTAAGAAGATATTTGTGTGGTAATTTTAATAACCAATTTGACATCTTATTAGTGAATGTTCCGTAATTTGATCCCTAAGCTATTTAAAGTACATCGTATAAGATCATAAGCACAAAAAAAATTTTACATAATAAATGTTCAGATGAAATTAAATTCAAATTAAAAATCTGTAATTTCATCTAACCCATATTATTGTAATTGTATATTTAATGCTTCATGAACTTGGTTCTTTATGTTTACTTTTTCTTTTTTTCTTCATTTTGTTTTGCATTTAGAAGTATTCACGGTCAAGGAAAATAATGTATGTATATATCTATTACTTTCTAAATAAATTTTCATTTTTTACTTTTCATAATTAAAACAAAATTTCTGTTTACATTTTAATGAAAGAGCTTTTCTACAAAACACACGTGATAAGTCAATCGAATTATTATTATACATTTTTTATTAATAAAATTTTCTACAAAATCTGCAAGAATTTTCTTATCAAAAGCAAAATTAATATGTAATTTAATGTGTAAATAAATTCATATAAATCTGTTCTGTACACCTACATTTATTTCGAGAAAATTATTCTGTAAATTATAATCTGTAAAATTGTTCTTTCTTTTTCTTTCATGCATTTTTCTTTAGAAGAGCATGAAAAATACAAAAAATTCAAAATAAAAATTTCAACAGGTAACAGTTAATATAAATATTTCAAATTTAACATTTTTTACTGTTATATAAATATATATTTATAACAAATAACAATATTACATTAACATACATTGTTATCGGTAAAATTTAAAAAAATTTTTAATGTTAAAAATAATGTTAATGTAATGTTAAATTTGTGAATGAGAATTAAAATACGGTTTGTTGATATTTACAATATAAATTAATTTACATAAAATGTACATACCTACCTACCTTATGAAAATATGTAATATTCATATATTTGCTACTCGTATCTGCATAGGTATACATTATGTTAAAATTCATCTGTTTGTTATACTTAAAGTAAAAAATACTTATAATATAAAAGAAAATTTAAATAAAAAAGCAAGAGAACAAAAAAAAAATTTAACATTCTACATCGGATTCTGTTTAGATTTATTTGTTTTGATTCTTTCATTTTCACATCAGTTCTTATTAGCGGCTCGTTGCATTTGGACGTGTTAAAAAGTGCAAAGCAAAAAAAAAAAACAATTAAAAATCGTTTTAATAACAAAATTTTGTTAAGAATATTCATTGAATTTGAAATTATTATATTTAAATAAAAATAAAAAAAAAAAAATTAATTAAATTCACTATTTTGAAATTTGAGTTTTAAAATTAAAATAAATAAAGTTTAAAAAATTTTGAAAAAACAATAATTACACTAAAAATAAATTATTACTTTTTATTTTATAAAATCTTACCTTGAGTATATTATGAAAAATTAAATAAAAATTATTTGAGAATAATAAAAAGTGTGAATTTATTTAAATATTTTAAAAAAAAATTTTAAAAATTAAATTAAAATATCTACTTACTTATAATTTTAAGTCTTATGTTCTTAAATCAACCCAATATAATTGATTTTTTAAAAATCTCAAATGGTAATTTCCATATGGTGTAGAAAAAATTTTTAAAATTGAGATCAAAATAATCTCCATGTGAAATATAATTATAATTAATTGAAAAAAATTAAATTTATTCAATTAATAATTTAATTGAATTAAAAGAAAATCCCAAAAAAAAAAAAATATTAAAAATTAAATTGAGTGAATCCATTTACTAATTAATTAAAATAATAAAATTGTTGATTCACATATAAATATGATAAAGTGTTTAAATTAATTTAAAAAAAAAATATTGGAAAAAAAATTTAATGCATATATGTATATCATAAGTATACCAAATAATTAATGAGTAAATAAATGAAAAATAGTAAATAAATTTAAATTATTAAGTAAATCATTCATAAATTTACAGATTAAATTATTAAAAATTTTATAATAATGAAATAAATCGAATATAAAATGAGGAAAAAAATTAATATTTTTTTTTGTTTGTGTGGTAAATAAAAATTTAATAAGTATATAATAATGTATAAATAGAATATTTAATTGTTCTTAACTGGAATTTTAAAATATTTGATAATATTGAAGTGTTTAATTTATAAAAAAATGAATAATTAAATTAAAAAATGAAAATTTTAAATAAATTTTTCAATTGAAATTATATCTCTGTTTACCTATACAATATCATAAAATTCCAATCAATCAATCAAAAATTCAGTATGATATAACAATTACGAGTATTATAGTGAGCATACATAAATTTTTTGGATTAAGTATTATATTAAAAAAATCAGATTAATTTAAATATTACTTAATAAATATTATATATATTATAAGAACATATTATCATAAAATTATAGCATTAAAAAATTTTTGGGGTTTTGATATATTCCTTCAAACTAAATATAATAAGAATGTGGTAAAGTAATATAATAAGGAGTTACTACAGGATGGTTATACTAATTATTATATAAGGTATTATAAATTAAAAATTTTATTCCATTATTATGAATATTTTCAAAATAGAAAATATTTTTTGTATTAAAAAATTTTATCATTAATTCTTAAATTTAATTATTGTTTTAAAAATAAATTATCTTGATATACTTATATATACTATATATATATAAATTTGTATAGAGCTATATATAATAAGTATAATAAACTGCATATATTGCATACGTGTTCCTCTACATAAATATATCCCAATGCAATATAATTTTGTATTTATGTACATATACTACATATACGAGTATATGTATGCAATATTTACTTGGAAAATTCTTAAAAATAATTTTTATGAGATTTCGTTATGCATATTTAAAAATGCAATTAAAATATAAATATATATATTGTGTACTTACTAATATTATTGCATAATATTATTTAAAACTATAAATTGAATTATTAAAAATGAAAAATATTATAATAATAAAATAAATTTGAATTTGAGTATATGCTAGATTTTGATTAATCGGAAACCTATATAAAATGTTACCAAATTTTAATTGTTTTTAATTTTAAAAATTTTATTTTATATTTTTATTTTTTCCTATTTTTTTCCTATCTTTTATTTAATTATTAATATTGAAAATTGATTTAAGAAGAAATTATTTTAGAAAAATATTTTTGTATTTGTTGTTCAAAGGAAATCAGATTTGTTTTTATTTAAATACAAAATATTATGAATGGTGTTATTATAGTTCTATGAAGCATTTTAGTTATTGCAATTATTACTTAAAATTTTGTATAACAATCGATTTTATGGTTTCTTACTTTATACTCCTAATTTTATAAAAACCACATAATACATGAAATAATACACTTAAGTAGTATAGGTTAAAATTTTTGATAAAAATTGGAATCAATAATTGTTTATGTATATAACAATGATATTTTAAGTTCTAGTAAATTTATACGCTCTGAGATAAAAAGAACAAAAACAAGTAAAAATGTTTCAGTCGGTATAAACCGATTGAATTATACCCTGCACCTTTCGTTGTTGTATAGCAATTACTCAAACCTGTGAAACCATTCTATAGAAACTTCACAGACATGTCTGACCTATAACTGGACACACAACTGCCAAGTTTCATGAATCTGACTTTATTATTTTTCCAAATATTTAAAATTAACCTTTGGAGTTGTATGGCGGGTACCCGAACCTGTCAAGCAATTCCATTAAAACTTCGCAAATATATCTGATCTATAATTGAACGTACAACTGCCAAGTTTCATGAATCTGACTTTATTATATTTCCGAATAAAAAAAATTTGCTTTTGGAGTTGTATGGCAGGCACCCGACTCTTTGCAGCTATCTCTTAAAAATTTTTAGAGCATATGTAGAATAAATTTGGACACATATATACAAAATTTTATATTTATAGCTTTATTAGTTTTCGAGATATTTAAAATAAACTCTTTGAGTTGTCTGGCGGCTCCCCGGTTGTCCGAATTTGTCCAATTACAATAGGGTTCGTCCTTGGCGCAAAAGAAACAACTTGTGACGGACGGACATGTCTAAATTAACGCAGAATTTAACGCTGAGCAAAAATATATATGTCCATATCGCAGATGACTCCTTCAAGTAGTTATAAACTCCATACCAAAGTTATTAAACCCTTTAGGAAGTTCATGGTATAAAAATGAACTAAATAGTGAACTTTGTGAGTATTAGTTTGTGAAAAAAGGGAAGCACATGAAAAATTCTTATAACATTATTCATTCTTATAACATTAATTATTAAAATTTGATATTCATCAGAGTAACAGTGTTGAGCGAAATCATACTGAAAGTTAGCGAAAAACTGACGCTCTTTATAATTTCTTTATGATAAAAAACATTTATCTTTGAAATAATGCTTGTCTTTCAGTTTTTTAAAAGCTCAACTTTTTCTGAATAATGGGTTCACTAAGGTATTTTTTTTTCCTTACTTCACCTGTTATTGAATTAACTAGGTGATGACCAGAAGGCCGCAATTTTATCTTTTAATTAAAATATTGAAGATTTTATTGTTTTTTTTTGTTGTTATTTAATATCGAATATTATGGGCAATTACTTTTATATTAACATTTTATTTCATAATGCTGTATATTAAGCTATATAATATTAAGTGCAATTATGAACCGGAGGCCCTTCGGTTAAAGGATCAGTGCAATAACCACTGCACCATTGGTCAGATTCATTAAGATACATTTGTGTATTATATTCCAAATTCTGTCAACAAACGGAATAAACGAACGGAGAGTAAGAATGGGACTAATTTTTGAGAATATGTCAAAAGAACGAGTCACTCTTATTAATGTGTTACTCAGAATGAAAAAGAAGGAATCCAAAAAATCTCAAAAATAAGTACGAAATGACTTAATTTTTTGGATTACGTATGGGCATTACTAAAAATCTGCGTATTTTCATAATGTATAATATACAAAAAACTAAAATTTATAATTTTTTTTCTTAGAATTTTATTTTCATAAAACTAAAATTAATTTGAATAAAAGTTCATTCCTTAAAAAAGTTAACTACGTAATTGTATATGAAAATGAATATTTTTAAATGGGCATGTATGTAGGCATGTAAGTAAAACAATACAAAATGGAAAAATTTTTATCTTTGCAGTTGTTACTCGTGCATACTTGTTTTAACAATGAGGGTTTCACATGTGTATTATGACACGTTCTGGTTTTAAGATTTACCCTATACAAAAAGTGTACGTTTTTTTTTTTTGAAATTAAAATGAATTTGATGTTATTGTCATTCTCATTTTGATTAAATTCTTATTTTTATATTCGCGACATAAATTTTTTACAAAACCCTCCAGAACTCTAATCCTTTAATTGAAAGTACATGTATATATAATCTACATATTTTCAAAATGTCTCTTTTGTTTTTAGTGATTATGGTAAATAACCTGGAAAATATTCACTTCTTTTGTTTTTTGAATTTGAAAATTAAAAGTAATCTTACCCATTACTCTGTGTTATTCTGAATAAATTTCTATTTTTAATTATCTAGTTGCAAAAACATCAACCAAACAAAGTCTAAGAAGAATATTTTTTTTTTTTTAATTAAATTACGAAATTACTTTTAAAAAATTAAATTTTTTAATTTTAGGGGTTCTTTTTATTCTTACATTCAACGTTCTTTTTTCTTGACCTCAAAAATTTAATGATATTTTTCATATTTTTTTATTTGAACGAGAGGAAAAATGCTTCTAAAACTTTTTGCAGAATATAGTAATTAGGGGCCTCATAATGATATATTAGGTAATATGGAGAAAATGAATTTTCAATTTTAGCACACAATAAGTATGGGTAAATGTCCGTTGCAAGTGTAAAGTAACATGCAATTTTTAAGTTTTTAATTGAAGGTTGGTGAATTTAAATTTATCATTTTAGACGGGATCTTGTGGAACACACAACCGTTGCGACATGCAATTGTATTTTTCTATTTTAATTTCGGAGAGCTACAGCTAATTTCACGTATAACTCATATTTCATCTATATTGAAGTTGGATTTTAAGAATTTTCGTGTCGGACCGGGATTTACAATATAAATATTAAATTCAAGTTAAAAAGAAACTTTATAGTCTTTTTGTTCTATTGTTACGTAGATCACATGAGCTGTTTATTGATAATACACCCATAGGTATAAGATTTTGAAATTTTCAAGAAATTAAGTTTAAAAATTTAGAAGAGTAATTGCTCATATTCAAGATTATTAAGAAATAAAAATTTACATAAATAATGTTATCGTTTTGAGCATCAAAATTGTGTAAAACATTGTTGGATCGGTTGTCTAAACTTGACATCGAACCTCAACCGGATAAATAAGCTAGGGTTTACTTTAATACCATATTAATTTTTAGAATCCTTATATCATTGGAAGTTTCGGTACGAAACTCTAATCATATAACAGAAATGTGTTAATGTCTTTATATTCTAATACTCGTAGTTAATTGGAGGATTCTAAGAAATTATTTACTACTTATTTATCAGAATCGCTTTATGTTATGACATCACATTTATAGTATTCGGCTGAATTTCATGAATAAAAGTTCTTTATACATACTTATTGCCTTTATATTTGTATGTACACACAAATAAACCAATTATAATAAATAAAATATTTTATTAATAAAATAATAATTAAGATATTTATTTTTGTTTGATTTTACTGGAGAATATTTATTTTAATTATAGACAAGTTAAACACCATATAATTTACAGTAATGGAAATTTTTTTTTGTAAATTTAACTGTGTTGCTTTTATAAATAAAAACTTTTAACACATTTTTAATCTTTGAACTTTTGGTTCATCAAATTTTATATAATATACAAGCTGCATATAATTTATATTTATGTAAGCGTGTGTACACACAAATGAATATAGCTAGAATTCACATAGATAATTCTGGATATTCAACGTATGTAAAAAAATCATGAAAATGATAAATATGAGAGTAAATATTAAATAACACATTCTATTTAGCATGATCATAAAAATTCCAATCAATTATTTTAAGTATACAAATATTTTCACTCTTATAAATGTTAACCGACGATTAAAATCTAATTCAATATATTTGTTTACTGTATACGGAGGTTAATTATTAACTGTATTGTTGTTAAATTTTCATTAATTTCGGCATTATTTTTACGTGGATATCATTAATTCACAAAACAATTATTGTTTATCATCGCTAATTAATTTATTTAATGAATATTTGTATACTTGTAATATATGAAAATATTTATGATATGTGCAATCTGTTAGGGGAAAGAGTGGCTAGAAAGTAGAATAAGAATTTTTGAACTGTAAAAAAGGATTTTAAAATAAAATTTTAATTAGCCATAGTATTTTTGTTCAGGCGGATTCACTCTATCGTTTCACTCCAAAATACCAAACCTTCCTCGAATTTATATGGTTCAGAAAATATGTCGGCCCGCTTCATACCAAGTATTTTCCCAAATAG